AACTTCCAAGGATTTCAATGGAACTTGGTAGCTCTTGCACTCAAAAGGCACCCCAAGTCCATTTTCTCCTTGTGTTTCTGCCCCTCCCATTCACAGACTGTGATATTTTGCATAAATATAAAGGTTCAGGTAAAGATTAGATGATGATTTCTACACGTGCAAACACCCAGGTTAGAAAAAGAGAGAAAAGTGGCTTCTGTGAAAAAATAACAAAAACACCTTACCAGGTGAAGTGAGTCAAGATATAGTCCCTGTGAAACATGTAAAAAAAAACCTCCCAACAAAAACATGCTTTGCCGAAAAGAGTTGAAATAAGATATGGTTCATTTTATCCAAGGTTTAGGTTCTGAGAGAAAGAAGGACTCAAGGTTTTACATGACAATCAGTGAATGCAGGGCTAGAAATGGGGCAGGAGTGTGCTCCCAGCTCCATATAGACTGTTTTGGAAACTTCAGAAAGGTACATAGGAACCGAGAGGAGATTAACTGAAAAGCTACATTGCAGCATTCTGGGACCATTCTCTTCTACTTCCAACTCATTGTCAGTGATAATGTGAGAATTGGCCATTGGTGACTAAAACAGCATGTTGGTTGGGTTGGGTCCCTCCATTAAACTGGACCCTGAATTGTCACAGAGCTGTACAATTATATAGCAACTTGACAAATATGTTGTTCCTGGATAATGCAGGAGTTCTTTCTATAAGAATATATTCTAGATGTATTTGACTGGAGGTTCAAAACAAAATCTTCCTTTCACTGGGATATGCTATTCATGTAAGTATTCCCTGTTCAAAGGAATCTAAATTGAAATGGATTGATCTTTTGCTTTATGCTTAATGTATCGACTGGGGTAAGGATTATATTTCTATATATGAGTTTGAAGAGCAGGACCATGAAAAGGTAATGAGAAAAAAAAAAGAATGAATTTGAAATGAGTTACTAGACCTGAGTTCTGTGGATACCACTTACTGCCAAAAAGACAAATGAGTGGGTCCTTAAGGAAATCAAGATTGATTTTTCACTAGAAATCAAAATAATTAGACTGAGACTGTCATACTTTGGACATATCTTGAGATAACATAACTCACTGGAAAAGGCAATGCTCAGCAAAGTGGAAGGCAATGGAAGAAGAAGACCATATTACAATTGATTAAATATAGAGAGCCATGGCTCTGAATATGCAAGACATAAGCAGTTGATGACCAGGGATCTTGGAGGGTTTTCATTCATAGGGTGCCATAAATGGAAGATGGCTCATTGGTGAGTAACAACAAGTTTTATAGTGACACACTTTAAATTCATTATCTGCCTTTGTAGACTCATCAAAATCTATAAACAAACAAATAACCAAGCAAGCTTGTCCCATGCTAAATATACAATATCCAATCAAAATCTATAAGTAAGTCAAAAAGTAACCTGGTCCCAAGTTAAATACTTGACATCCAGAAGGAACAAATCCACAGCTCATCAGAAAAACACCAGTTTTGCACTCCCAACAAACACAATTGATCCCCGACACTCCAGGAGAAGGCTAGAAAAAGCTTCTCCGTGGAAACCCTGGCAAATCATTGGCAGTCAATGTAGACAATACAGTGTTAGGTCAAGAACTTAGAAAAATGACTGTTTGGATTAAAAATCCCAGATCTCCACAACTAAAACAAATACTGGCCATATAGGCTGGATATTGTGGAATGGTTATTGAAAAAGCAATGGCATGATTGGCCATAGATGCAGCTTGCTCAATTCTTTTTTTATATACAAATTTTCTAGTGAAACTTAGCTTATTGTGTCTAGAGCAGCACATATTAAGAGAGTTCCTTGTTAAGAGGATGAAAATCAAATACTGTTCATAATGTCAAACACCCTCCTACAAAAGTGCCTGAATAAAGTGATAGATTATTTACATGATTGCCCATCACTTTCCATCAAGAGGGCTGAAAATGTGAAGCATGTCTGAGTGATATTTTTATATTTGTGGATTACTCAGGACTGAAGCAATTTTACTCTCCCATCTTCCATGCAAATATTTAAGCACTTATTTTATTTTACACAACAATAGACTAAACCAATTGTAACTGTCTGACATAGCCTAGCCTAAGCATATATGCTGATGTGAGTAGTGTATAGAAATCTGAAGCATGCCATAGAAAATATACAAACGTTTATTGGATTTTCTAGTTATATTTGAAATGAGTGCACAAACAATAGTTATATTATTCAATAAGTGCTGCAAAATACATTGGGGGGGGGGGGTGCAGAGACTTTAAAATGCAAATCCATGCTTATTATTGTCTACTTCAATACTTGTTCTCCAAGGTCTACAGCAGCGATGTCTCCCATCCTTCATATTTGAGTTAGTTTTAATGGAAAACATTTTGTCTCTGCCGGCAGGCATCCTCAAACTGCAAACTTCCAGCTGTTTGGGTCTCCAACTCCCAGAATTCCTGACCATTGAACAAGCTGGATATGGCTTCTGGGTTTGAGGCCCAACTAGTTGGAGGGCTGCACTTTGAGGATGTTTATCCTAAAGGCAAGTGATTCCATTTGATCTTGGAAGCTATGCAGGGTCATCTTTGGTTAGTAAGCTAGTGTTTGTCATCAGTAATGGATTGGAAGAAGTCAAACCAATTGAAACTTAATCCAGGCAAGAGAGTCACTCCTGGTCTGCTGGAAGGCAGATCAAGGAATAGCAATCCAGCCAGCATGAGATACAGTTACATTTCCCATGAAAATGTAGGTTCGCAGTTTGGGGTACTCCTGCACCCAGTGCTGAACTTTGGAGGCCCAGGTGTCTGTGGTGGCTGGGAGTGCCTTTGCACATTTAAAAGTTGTGCACTATCTGTGCCCATTCCTTGAGATGCCAGATCTGGTCATGGTGGTACATGCCTTAGTTACAAGCATTTGGATTATTGCAACATGCTCTACTTGCAACTGCCTTATAGAAGGGTTCAGAAACTATGAATGGTCCAAGAGGTGTGGCCGGACTGTTAACTGGGACTGGCTACAGGGAGTAGACAACACCCCTGTTGCAGCAGATCCATTGGCTGCCAGTGTGTTTCCGGGCACAATTCAAAGTGCTGGTCATTACCTATAAAGTCCTATCTAGGATATTTGACATATTGTATTTCCAGGGCTCTGACATCATCAGGAGATATACTTCTCTTGGTCCAACCACTATCACAAGAATGGTTGATGGAATTGCAAGAGAGGACTTTCTCTGTGGCTGCCCCTAGGCTCTGAAACTCCCTGCCTAGGGAAACCAGAATGGCCCCATCCCTATTGTCCTTCCAGCGGCAGGCTAAGACATTTGTATTCAGGCAGGTTTTTAAAGAAGAATCATAGAATCATAAAGTTGGAAGAGACCTTGTGGGCCATCCAGTCCAATCCCCTGCCAAGAAGCAGGAAAATTGCATTCAAAGCACCCCTAACAGATGGCCATCCAGCCTCCGTTTAAACGCCTCCAAAGAAGGAGCCTCCACCACACTCTGTGGCGTAAGAGTTCCAATGTTGAACAGCTCTCACAGTCAGGAAGCTCTTCCTAATGTTCAGGTGGAATCTCCTTTCTTGTAGTTTGAAGCCATTGTTCCGTGTCATAGTTTACAGGGCAGCTGAAAACAAGCTTGCTCCCTCCTATGTGACTTCCCCTCACATATTTATACATGGCTATCATGTCTCCTCTCAGTTGTTAAAAGTGAACAAGGTAGGTGCTGTATATTCTTTTAATTATTTCAACTATTTCAGTGTTTTAGTGATTTTAACTGATTTGCATGTTTAATTCTATTTTAATATGTATATGTTATAAAGATTTTAAATTCCTTTGTTTTTTAACGTTGTGAGAGGCTTTGTGTCTCAATCAACTTCTACATGCATCTGCCTAGTAACCTTTCTCAAAACATTTTATTATGATTATCACTTAGAAAAGGAAGAATCACATGGGGACACGCCATTTGCTTTGAACAAGTAGGCAGGACCAAATATTTAGTTCAAGTGAAAAAATAATAATCTGCATTTATTCTACAGATGGAACACAGTTTCATCCAGTGTGATGCCTGCACTAGGACTATGTAAGCAATATTTCTCCTTCCTTCTTTCTCTCGCCATCCTTGGGATTACAGATATTATAATAAACCTGAAAATGGGCAGATTATAGCTACAGTTGAAACTGATCTACAGAATGCGTAACAATACAAAATCATAAAAGAGGGAAAAGACACAAAAGCATAACAGATGGTACGCTCCCCTCCTCCACCCAAAGCTACTGGAGATGACAAGCTGGTAATTTTTACAGGGTGGATTAGCTCATTAAAAATGACAAAGGGGGATCTGTGACATTTGCAACACACAGAGCAAAAAAACAATATTTATATATTTTGATGGCTTCAATTAAAATTCTGGAGAGCTTTTTAAAAATACCATGGCCATGATCCATCAGCTCCCTGTATGATGGACCGTAATGTATCTGTTTGCCTTAGGGCCACCAAAAATTGCTCTTTCTTGCCTATCAACATATTGTATGTATGCAGACGTTTATAGCGTCATTAATATAACAAGGTAATTGGGGCAAATGAAACAAGTACCCTGTTTTAAAATGGCTGCACATTTCATGTGATACTGGGATTTAAACAGATGGCTCTATTTGGTAGAGATTTTAATAATCGACAAATGCAAGAGAGCTATCTGAAAGGAATCAGAAAGGCATACATGGTCCTGATTTTGGCTACTAGTTCACACACTATTGGTTGGCATGTTTTCCCTCCTTAAACAAAAGATTGATTTTCCTAATCCATCTGAATGCCTGGAGAGGGAAGTTGTATTCCATTCTATTTCCTCCACTTTTTAATTGGCTATTTTACATACAAACTATGTTGGAGAAAACTGCAACAATAAAAACAATTACTGAGAGAAAAGGAGAGGGGCAAATTCTAAGGCACACCACAGAGTTGTGAAAAAGACATACATATTCTGTCTTGTAAGTTTTCCATTTTAGAGCAGGTAAAATACCTAAAGGAATGGAATCTGGATTCACTGGACTCTGCTGCCTGGAATGATTGCTACCACTGCCTTTTTTTAAATCCTCTGCATCGCTGTACCGTCGTATCCAATAATTAAGTTCCTCCCGGTCAGCTTCCTGACATCGCCGTAGCACAGTGAGTGATCGCCTTGTTTTTTCCACCATATCCATGATGCAGTTCAAGAGCTAGTGGTCAGGGAAAAAAGCAACAAATAACTCTCCTGTTTGTTCCATATCTTGTCAATTATCCAAAAAGCGCAAGGTGCCATATGAGATTCTTCCCCCCCCCCCCCCCAGTTTTATATGGACAACAACCCTGTGAATCAAGGTAGGACAAGAGATGGTAGCTGAACCAAGGGATTTTAACCATGGTTTCCATGGAATTAGCTAGGGAGTATAATCTTTTGCTGGTTTCTGATTATCTTATTCATTTTTCTTTATTTTAACTATTAAAAGGATGAAAAAATACTATCTTCAACCTCTCCATTCAGCTTTGAAGAAACCACTGAATTTGAATTAGTATGAGCTTTTGGACTGGCTAGATGCTATCCAATGTACAGTTGGTCAGGAAGTTATAAATGCTATATTTGAATGAGTGACAAATAGAGCTCACAGCAGCCCAACTCCTAGTTATGACATTGAGGGTGTTCAAGACCAGGTGGAAATTGCCCATTCTGTGGCTCTTCCCTTTTCAGTTCTTGTGCATGATACTGATATCTGGAACAAAATCAACACAAGCTTCTTCTACTCAGCCCAGAACTTCTCATATTATTTCAACAATATGGGTAGAAGTACTGAAATATGAATAGAAGATCTTGGTTGAGGCTGTTTCCAAGAATAATTCAAGTTGAATGGAAACTCCTAGATATTAGGCCTGGGTAACAACGGAAAAATTTGTTTCTAAAATCGATTTGTATTTGGGGGGTTTTTTTGTTTCGATATTTAAAATAATTACAAAATTTTCCTTTTAAAAAGTTCGATATTTACGAAATTTCGTAAATGGTAAAAATTTAACGAATCGATTTCCGAAACAATAACGAATCGATTCGTTAATGGCGGACGCGACCGCGAAATACGCTAAAAAACCTCCAAAACCTTCTGAAGCTTCCCTCTCCCTCTGTTGTTGACTGTTGGTGTGATATTATAATTTTTTTTCACTAATTAAACCATAAAACTGGCCCAGACATGCGGAAATAATAACGAAACGACCTCAAAACAATAACGAAACGAATAAAATATCGAAATACGAAGCATTTACAAAACGTTTTTGAAAATTCGTTTTTTTAATAATTGCTCCAGAATGGTTCGTTATCGTTTTGTAATTGAAAAAAATTAACGAATTATTAACGAATTACGAATTAACGAAACGAAACCGCCCAGCCCTACTAGATATGCATATGAATATTATCACATTTTGCTATCCTTGCAGAAATAGTCACAGAATTCAAAGGGGTGTTTTAACACCAAGATACCATGTTATGAATTTTCTGTAAGATTTTTGATATTTTAGAACTTTCTCGAAAACGAATATTTTTCACATACACACTCAAAAGTCCCCTCAAAAGTTAGATCCATGTCCTGGTAAGTGTTTCTTATTCTTATTTACAATTGTGGTACCATTGCTACAATTGTACATGCCCCGGAAAGACACCCTAAAAGTGCAATTTAAACAGTAAACATTTTAAGGCCCTTTTTTGTGTAAAAGATGTGATATAGTCACACCTATACAGGTATTTATACACAAATATAGACATGGTATATTACTTACATGGTCAAGGTGTTTCCATTCTTCTGCCCATTCTCTGTCTGTTAGCCTATGATCAATCATTTCTTCTTGACGTGTGCATTGTAACCCTGCCAAAAACAGAGAATAAATAAATAAAAATAAAATATCAGTAGCATGTTTACATGGAGCGAGAGTTGCCAGATGTTCAAGCTGGGTTTAGAAAAGGCAGAGGAACGAGAGACCAGATTGCCAATATCCGCTGGATAATGGAGAAAGGCAGGGAGTTTCAGAAAAACATCTACTTCTGCTTCATTGACTATTCTAAAGCCTTTGACTGTGTGGATCATAATAAATTGCAACAAGTTTTTGGTGGTATGGGAATACCAAGTCACCTTGTCTCTCTCCTGAGGAGTCTGTACAAGGACCAAGTAGCAACAGTAAGAACTGACCACGGAACAACAGACTGGTTCAAGATTGGGAAAGGCGTACGGCAAGGCTGCATCCTCTCACCCAACCTTTTTAACTTGTATGCAGAACACATCATGCGATGTGCGGGGCGGGATGAATGCAAAGCTGGGGTGAAAATTGCTGGAAGAAACATTAACAACCTCAGATGTGAGAAACTGGAAGAAACATTAACAACCTCAGATATGCAGATGACACCACTCTGATGGCCGAAAGCGCGGAGGAGCTGAGGAGCCTTCTAATCAAGGTGAAAGAAGAAAGCGCAAAAGCTGGGTTGCAGCTAAACGTCAAAAAAACCAAGATTATGGCAACAAGAATGATTGACAACTGGGAAATAGAGGGGGGAAAGGTGGAGGCAGTGACAGACTTTGTATTTCTGGGTACAAAGATTACTGCAGACACAGACTGCAGCCAAGGAAATCAGAAGACGCTTACTTCTTGGGAGGAGAGCAATGTCCAATCTCGATAAAATAGTAAAGAGTAGAGACATCAGACTGGCAACAAAGATCCGCCTAGTCAAAGCCATGGTATTCCCTGTAGTAACCTACGGATGTGAGAGCTGGACCTTAGGGAAGGCTGAACGAAGGAAGATCGATGCTTTTGAGCTGTGGTGTTGGAGGAAAGTGCTGAGAGTGCCTTGGACTGCGAGAAGATCCAACCAGTCCATCCTCCAGGAAATAAAGCCCGACTGCTCACTGGAGTGAAAGATACTAGAGACAAAGTTGAAGTACTTTGGCCACATCATGAGGAGACAGGAAAGCCTAGAGAAGACAATTATGCTGGGGAAAGTGGAAGGCAAAAGGAAGAGGCGCCGACCAAGGGCAAGATGGATGGATGGCATCCTTGAAGTGACTGGACTGACCTTGAGGGAGCTGGGGGTGGTAACGGCCAACAGGGAGCTCTGGCGTGGGCTGGTCCATGAGGTCACGAAGAGTTGGAGACGACTGAACGAATGAACAACAACAACAAGCATGTTTAAGTGATCCAGCAAATATTCTCTATATGCCAGTCTATTATAGGAACCCACAGGATTGCCTAGTGAAATTCCTGATGAGAAAAAGACCCAAGGCCCAAAAAATGAAATTGTCACAAACTTGCTAGAGAGCATTTGGGGAAATTCAATCAGAGAAGACGGGATGCTCCTGGTCAGTCAGAAGGTAAATCAGGGAATAGGGATCCAGGATGCGCTGGATGGGGTCACACTCCCCTTGAAGACATGGGTCTACAGTTTGGGGGTCATCCTAGACTCAGCATTGAACCTGGAGGCTCAGTTGTCAGCAGTGGCCAGGAGGGCCTTTGCACAATTAAAACTGGTGCACCAACTGGACGCATTTCTTGAGAAGCCAGATGTGACCATGGTGGTACATGCCTTAATTACATCCCATCTGGATTACTGTAATGTGCTCTAGGTGGGGCTGCCTCTGAAGAGTGCTCAGAAACTTCACCTGGTCCAAAGAGCTGCAGCCAGGTTGCTTACTGGGGCTGGCTGCAAGAAGCAGACAACCCTACTGGCAGCAGCTCCACTGGCTGCCAGTCTGTTATCAGGCACAATTCAAAGTGTAGGTTATGACCTTTAAAGCCCTAGACAGTTCAGGTCCAGGCTATTTGGCCAACCATATCTCCTTGTATGAACCTGACCAGGCTCAGAGATCTTCAGAAAGAGGCCCTTATCTCAGTCCCACCTCCACCTCAAGCTCAACGAGAGAACGGACCTTACTTCTTGGTGCTGCCCCCCAACTCTGGAATTCCCTGCCCAGGGAAGACAGAATGGCCCCCTCCCTGCTGTCCTGGTGACAGGTTTTTATTCAAACAGGCATTTAAAGATGAAGGTGTTTAAGATCTAGTCAGGGTAAGCTATGGTTTTAAAAATTGAATATGTTTGATGGATTTTAACTTAATTTTTAAATACTCTTGTGTTTAATTTTGTTTTAATGTTTGTATATTTGTATATTTTAAAATGGATACCAATGTTTTTATGTCAAGTTGCTTTGAGTCCCCTTTGGGGAGATAAAGTGGGTAACAACAACAACAACAACAACAACAACAACAATAGGTGAGCTAGCAGATTATAAAAAACAATATATCTGCATTTCAATGGATCATGGAATATATTTCTATCTAGTATATACATACATATCAACATGTATATTTTTAAAAACCCAGAAAAACCTGGTACTACATGAGAAAAAAATATTGCTGTGATTTTCCTACCTAAAATATTACCAAAGATATGAATGTCTTAGAATTTCAGTTCAACCCAGAAGTAGCTATAGCATGCCTAAATTAGAAAATTGTATCTATAAAAGGGATATGGAGCAAAGGTGACTTATGGCTGGAAATCAGTCCTCTGTGAAGCTTAAGGCAAGCATCAACATATGTCATCAATAAAAGGATTGCATTAATTACAATTCTCTGCACTAGTGACCACTTAGTAAGTGGGGTATGATGTCTATTTAGAGGAGAAAAAAACATGGTTAAGAGTCCAAAAGGCTTTTGCTTACCCATAGGTCTGTTTCTGTCCCTGAGGTCCCTGTGGTTGGGGTGTCTGTATGAGTCCCTGTAGTGGTGGGCAATGGCCATATCATCCAAACGGTAATGCTGAGGTGGAGGCGGAGTGGGGTGAGGCAGACCGTTGGGCTGGTAAGACAAGCCATTATTTGGACTGTACCGCTGGCCGGGGCTAATAGTGCACGGCCGCTTGCTTGGATGCTCTGAGTGCAAAGGCTCTCTGTCAAAGCCATTTTCTTTGGTTCTGAAAATATAAATGACAGAGGACATTTGGTCAAGAGAATTCTATTTTAAAAAGAGAATCAGAATACAACTGCCATAGTACACACAATAATCAAGATATGTATTAATAGTAAATATTCACTTCAAAGTACACGAAAAAGTGGCTAGCACCACATTTGTTCCATTTGTGCTCTGCTTTATCTTGAAATCTAACAATACCAACATGGATAAACTGATAGATATCCTATGAATAACTTCCGCCTTTTGTTGCCCAGTCTACATTCCTATCCCCACCTAATCAGGAAATGGTCCACAATCATTACAGATGTTCAACTTTTCTGTGACATTGCTTTCCTGGTAATATTTTAATGGCATGAGTTAAATGCCAGGCTTTCTATAGACCTTGAATGTATTGTATTAATTTGTATCCATCTTTTAGATGGGGAAGAAATCCTGTGGACCCGCTGTAGTTCTGAACTGTTGAGAGAGAGAGGGTTCCACCATATCCTCTACCACAGCTTCGTGCTAGAGAGATGTTTCTGTCGCCTTGTGATGAGTTTTAGAGACACAGCAGTATGTCTGAGAGGAGATCCTGGGCATGTCTGGACCCACTTTGTGAATAACAGTTATAGAAAAAAATTGTCCATGAACAGGACAAGAACCTGTATGTCTGCCTATCTTAACCAACAACCAGAACCTTCTTTTAGTGTTGTATATTCCTTATTTGCATTTCAAGGGCTTTGCAGGTGCATTTTAAGAACCCCTTTTGCAAAGGTCATTTTCAAATATCTATGCTCGTACAGTGGTGTTGGCAGAAGAGTCCCATGCTGTTGAAATGAGTGCAATGTTTCCTACATGAGTCTGGATAGACAGAAAAAGGAAAAGCCATGGGGTTGAAAGGAAACTGTGTCATAAAATGTTTACACAACTGTATTTTTAAAGTGGTCATGCTGCTTCTTGAAATTGGATCCGTTTTCACAAAGCAATTGCTGCCATCCTACGGCACAGACACATTGCTATACTACTTGGAGGACTTTCTTTACTTTCCTTCTTATTGTATTAAGTTGATATTACCCAGGGAGTGGTGGATATTTTTTCCTTTGATAAATTCTAAAGGAAATGACAAAAGTTGTCCCTGGGAAAACAGAAATATCTCTTTTTGCTTTTTTTATAATAATATACCAAGCAGTTAAAACTATATATTTTATTGGACCAACATAGACAGATGGAACTAGGGTACAATTGGAAAAAAAAACTGCATTGCTGATAGCAAACTGTTTTATCGTGTCAAAAAACAACAACAAAAAACAAAACCCATGCTGCATAGTTCCATGCTAATTAAGGTTAGTTCAGCAAAATGTACCCTGGCATTTTATGTACTTGGTATGTATATGTGTGTGTCCCCTTCTCAACAAGTAGTCATGTGGAATTCTTGAAAATAAGACCTTTAATTAATAGGGATGCTGTGAATTGCTGGGATTTTCTATGTCTGAGGTGAAAATTGCATATTCAAATCTATACATGTGAATAAAAGGTATGACAACAGCAAAGGTGTTTAAGATACTTTACAAAGATACAAACTATTATCAGCACTGGATCTGTGCTTTGCATGGGAAAGGCAGGCACTTTTGCTCCTGGTAGAAGTGGGGAGGCAGCCAGGGAGAACAAGACAACTCGCAGCAGCTGGCCCTCCCCAGAGGATCATGTGCAACTGTTGGGTTTCAGAATTGCCCAAAAAGCCCACCAAGGGTAGTGGGGTTTAAATACCCAGATCACTGGGGGGAGGCAGCCAGTCCAAGGGGAACTTCAGCCCACCCTGTTCTTCCTGTATAAAATCATATTGCTGTACCAGTGAAATTGGGCAATGGCAGTTGTAAAACAGTTCCCAAATGGAGGGAACCCTGGCCAACAGATGTAATGCAGCCAGGTACATCCAGCCAGTTTGATACTGAATCAAAGCCGGGTATATCCTGAGACAGATTGAGGCTGGGGCGTCCCAGAAATTGTTTCAAGGTAAAAGGTATTATTTCCAATGGCAAGTGGGCCAGCAGGGGGCAGGATCCTTGACACATTTGGGGGCCAAGTCAGATAAACTATAACCATATAAGGTTGTGACATTTTATTATCCAACATGGTGTTTGTTGCTATTATTGTGATCATCAAGCTGGAGGTTGCTCACATCCACAACTATACAGGTAACAATGAACCAATTAAGCTAGGTTTTTAGAAGTTAAAGTCTCGGGTGTCTACAATTCTGATTACCAATAATATTTATGGTTGTATTTTGGTTGTACAATGTTTTGGCTGTATGTTGTCAGTAATCATGACCACTACTGCAATATATTTAAGTTTCCAGGAAGGGAGAAATTCATGCTGCATGTGAAGGGCATGCATCAATAATATACCTACTGGAAAAACTAAGGTTTACTTCTACTAACAGTATTCAGCTATATATATGTATGTGTGCATGTGTATACACACACACACACACACACCACCATCCACATGCACTCCTTCAAATTGATATCTTTGCTATGGACCCACTTTCACTAATAAACTGCCACACATGGATAAAAGTATACTGTTATCTGAAAATCATATGAAGATATATTACAACCAAAGAAAATGCTTACACATACACCAATCTTGTGCAGTTAATTCATTTTTGAAAAATTCCTTCAAAAGGAAAAACTAGATAGATAGATAGATAGATAGATAGATATAGAACGTATTGTGCTAGTGAGTGCTTTGTCCCTGACATGCTATGCAAAATTACCAAAAATGCATTGTCTCCTCAGGTGTCATTCTCTTCTCTCTTTCAGTGACTGATGGCTCCCAGTGTTATTACAGAAACAGATTGATCTTTTTAATGAGCTAGTTTAATAGACTCCAAAATCTCACAGTGGCTGCTCATCCGTGTCAGACCATATGCACCAAGAAAACATTCAGTGAAACACAGAACTCTGCTGTCAGGCTGCTTTATGAAACTTTGTGTACAGTAGTAGTGGGCATACAAATACACAGCTAGAAGCAGAAAATGAATATGCAAACAATATGCTGAAGCTGCATTCAGAAAAAGAACATGACTACAAGTGGGTATATTTTTCAGGCTGTCCTCAAACCCTTAAACACGAGCGGTCATGCTCTAGGTACAAAAAGGAATTTTTCACTTCTCTTCAGTCTTCAGAGGACAAACTCCACTGAATATGAAAAAGGTCAAGGATGTGTGAAAAAAAATGATAATTACCATAGTTATAATTTTATTTTGCTATTTTACTTTCTATCCAAAAATCTCAAGGGAGCTTACATCCATAAAAAATTGTAGTGTCTAAATGAAATTACAAACAACCTTAGATATTTAAATCAAACAAGACTGAAAAAAGCCATCAAGGAAGAAACACAAGTAGCAACATTAAAATGATTCCTTCCAAAGTCCTTAAATTGGTTTCAAGAAATCAGCAACTGCCCAACAACAAATGATATCTTGGAGCAAGACAACCGCTGAAAGATACTAACCTCTCTTGTAGCTGTAAAGATGCATATACTATGTCCTATACTTAATATCTGTGAAGGTTCAAATAGAATAAATTGTTTCCTTAAATATCATTTACTCCAAATGAATAGGATATGTAACTTAACATTTATTTTAACAAATTCAAGGTTGTAATGGTTGTCACAGTTTTCATTTTGGTGTCAAAAGTGGTCAAACAGCATTAAAAGTTTTTGTACTATTATGGAGAAATTAATTCTAGCAATTACTGTATATACTCGTATATAAGGCAAATAAAATAAAATAAATGAATTGCCCCCCAAAACCTAGTTTAACTTATACATGGATCAATGCTAGACTTGTGCACGGATTCGTTTTGGCCATTTGTCTTTGGCTTCTTTGGACATCCGTAATGGCAAGGGCTCTACCACCATGGTTTTTTCAACAGAGCCAGACTACGTGGCTGCCGGTTGCAGCTCCTTCTGCTCTATTCGAGCGCATGCGGCACACGTGGCCTATGCCTTACAGCATCTCCTCAATTGGGTGAAAATCTTAAACAGGAATAGACCCCAAAGCTACCTTCTGCTAAGGAAAACCTTTTTGTGGAAGTGCTATTTCTAACCCTAGGGTGGATTACTACATGAGAAAGTTTACTCCAAATCCAGAGAGGTTCTTTTCAAGCAAACTTTTATTTACAAACTATTTCAAAAACTCTTTAAGGTTCAATAGAGTTCATTATATGCTACACCCTGTTTCATTTTATTCATGTTTCCCTTTCTTTGCAATAAAATCCTGCAAGATGTCTTTCCTAAACACTTCTGCAAGTGTTAACAGAATCCATTTTCTCTCCCCATTCACAGGTCTTTGCAACCATGACAGTGTAGAACTGTTCTAGTGCTGATAGCCATGGCAGATACAAACAACAGTCCAATGCATGACATGCCCTTGCTACCGCTTTCACAATATGGCCAACATCCAACCACCTCAAACCACCAGACAGCAGCTTTGATTACCTTTATACCAGGAAAACTGAAAAGATACTGATGTCTAAATATATAGTATGCACTCTAGAAGACTTCATGGGGTGGATGCAGCTTACCCTTCATAAAAGCCTCTTCACTGTGTTTAGACAGTGTCTTCCTGTGTGTTCAATGAGTTTGTGACATACTGACAAGAAATTGTCTTTCCTGAGAAACATAAGATCATTGGCAGTATATGAAAGCATAAGAAAAAAATAAAGAAAAGTTGTGCCTGTTTGCCTAATAAATGGGAGTGAAAGAGATATATGATTTTCAACAAAGGCAGAACTGTGAGAAACCATTTTCACTTTGGTGAATATTTCGACACCATAATTTAAGATAGGTAAAACATTAAATCTTCTCTTGTCCAAAACCTCTGCCCTGTGGGGGTTGCTTGGTATGGTTGACCGATCTGGATTCTCAAAGCTCAACACAGTCTTAAATGTTCATACTTCTTCCAGGATTATCTTCTGTCAGTAAGTTAGTGGTGTAAATGTCATTGCTTCTTGGGCCATGGCACAATCTAATTGATTCTGGATCCAGCTGAGTGAAAATGTTCCCTGCTTCTTTTATTAAGTACTTCAGTCTCAGGTTGTACTGATAGTTTGCACACATCCCATATGAACTATAAAAGATAGAGTGGATGTGGAACATATGATATTTAACTCAAATGTGTATATTAAATACTGCTTAAAAGCTAATCATTAACAGTTAAACATATCCAGAGTTATTATGACCATGGAATAAAATCTATTTTCCTTCTAGATATTTTTAAATTCTTCTGCTAAATGTCTCTTACATAACTGGACTTTATTTCCTTGTCTTTGATTTGTTCAAAAAGAGCCAAAACTCCTGAAGCACCCTTATAGGAAAACATTTTAAAATCTTAAGGAAGCGTAAAAAATGGTTTCTACAATTTTTGCAGTAAGTTAATGGTTGCCAGGATGAGCATATGGGAAAGTAGTATTGTGTATGGAATGGTCTCACTTAGTATAGAATGGGCTAGCTCTTGTTCTGCTCATCAAACTGCTGTAAGATTTTCTAATATTCACATGATGACAAAGTGGCCATAATTATGGAGTTGCAGAATTCGACTTTGAATTTGTATTTCTAGGTGCAAAGATTACTGCAGATGCAGACTGCAGCCAGGAAATCAGAAGACGCTTACTTCTTGGGAGGAGAGCAATGTCCAATCTCGATAAAATAATAAAGAGTAGAGACATCACACTGGCAACCAAGATTCGCATAGTCAAAGCAATGGTATTCCCTGTAGTAACCTACAGATGTGAGAGCTGGACCTTAGGGAAGGCTGAGCGAAGGAAGATCGATGCTTTTGAGCTATGGTGCTGGAGGAAAGTTCTGAGAGTGCCTTGGACTGCGAGAAGATCCAACCAGTCCATCCTCCAGGAAATAAAGCCCGGCTGCTCACTGGAGGGAAAGATACTAGAGACAAAGTTGAAGTACTTTGGCCACATCATGAGGAGACAGGAAAGCCTAGAGAAGACAATTATGCTGGGGAAAGTGGAAGGCAAAAGGAAGAGGGGCCGACCAAGGGCAAGATGGATGGATGGCATCCTTGAAGTGACTGGACTGACCTTGAGGGAGCTGGGGGTGGTGACGGCCGACAGGTAGCTCTGGCGTGGGCTGGTCCATGAGGTCACGAAGAGTCGGAGACGACTGAACGAATGAACAACAACAACAAGTCTTCTAGCTTGCATATTATATCCATCCCAACCACTGAATTTGTATTCAGAGGATGAGAGCACATTATCTGCCTTCTTTCTAGAGTGAAGAAAGCAGTAAAAACATGAAGAGAGTGGTACATTAAAAATAAATGTTAGTTACTTTAATTTGCACTCAACAACTGATCAGTTTATTGGTAAGTAACAATGCTATGAACATCTATGTAGATCTTATATATTCCTAATTCCTGAGATCTAAATTGTGCCTTAGGTCTTATTCTACAAAAGTAGAACTCTCCACTGATCAGCAGATAATGGAACGTTCCACTGTAGCCATGCTTTATTTCTTTTTAAATTGAATTTCCATGTTATTTTCTTCCCAACATTCCAACAAAATATTATCCAAATAACTACACTATGTTTTACAGCCAGCTGTTAATTTTGACTAGAATAGACACAGTCAATCCATCTAATTTCTCTACATAGTGAATCAACAACTGATTAGAATAGGTCTGCATTGCTTTGGATGAATCAACAGGACATCAGTGTAAATCATTTTGTTCCTTTGTGAACCAGAGTCTGCCATATGAATGCAACACTTAAGTGATTACAACACTTACAGTGGGAGGAAATACAAAAAAGTGGTGGGCTTATACTCAGGACAACTGAGACATATACTATAATTTTGTCCTATGAAGAACATCTGAAACAGGGTCCCTAACCTTAAGTATATTACCCCCCACTACTTCCAAGGCAAATTTAAAGATAGCAAGTTCAACTGGATGGTGGTTGTGATCGTTCTGAGGATTATTTGTACCATCAGTCAGCCACTGCATCCAGTTATAACCACATCTTATAAGCCTGTATTATCTAGCATCAGGGTCCAGGAAATAATTTCATAATTGCACTTCTCTGTCTCGTTTATTGTATAACACTTCGGGAGCCTATTTTTATTGGAAAGTGGACTATAACACATAAATAAAATTTAATCAATGTATTTACATGCTTCAACGCCAAGTTGACAATATTTTTGTACACTCCCTAATGTTTAAAGCATTATGCAAAAATATCAACTGCTGGAGGGCCCCTACTGGGCCTATAGTTGGTTGGTCTCTCTGCAAGGCAGCTTGTTTTCTCTTTCAAACATCCTCTTTAAATCATTTCTTCATGAAATGAATATCTCCTGCAGTGCAGATTTCAAAAGAACAGTGAAAGGAACACCACACTGTGTTGATGTTTCATTGCAGCATTAAGACAGAAGCAAGGCCTTTCTTGTAGGTAATCTTCTGAAGACAGCATGCCAAGGTGAACAGGGCCAAACTAGAAAGTGAGGGGACTAAACTAACATTCAAACTCATGATTCACATATAGCAATCTACTTCCATATCTACAATACACACATTATTTATAAATACATCCACCGATCCTTAAATATAATTTCCTATGTTGCAATTATGCTTGGGGGTGGGGTAGGCCTCCCATTTGAGACTAACAGGATTTTTAATATGTCTGTGTATGGATTCGTTTTCAAAAAAAGTCTTCACCTGGTTCTGTTGGTTTGGATGCCCATAATGGCATGGGCTCCGCCACCAATTTTTTTCTGCTGCAACAGAACAGCGACTGTTGAAAACTCAGCTGCTTTCCATTTCTTTCAGTTATGGGCAGGGAGGCAGCTGCTAGAAGGGAAAGGATCCCAGAAAAGGTGATTTCTTAAGCCATTGTCTTAAACTTGGATCTCCTCCAAAGAAAGAAGGGAAAGGATTGCAGGAATGGGGTAGGGTTCTGAAGCCCTTTCCTTGAATCTGGGAAGCCCCCCTCCCCCCAATTGCTGCCAATGGGTTGGATTGAAAATGAATCAGCTTTCTGGATCAAAAATTGATTTCTGTCCTCCCAAATTTGGGAGGCTCCCAAAAAACAGACTGGAACCCCCACTGAAATCCAGGACACAGGTCAAGGTTGCACAAGCCTAATTTTTAAATGTAGTTCCCTTCACCTTTGTAAGTTAAGCATTTGTGGATTTGATTATTCACAGCTTACTTTATTTGTTGCCACTTCTGCTGCTGCCCCATAGGAAACCGGAAAAAATGTCCTATTTAGGCATTTCTAGGTACTCTACCCCAAATCTATGATTAATGTCTGCCAGAATTGTGTTGGAGAAGTGATCCCTCAGGTTAAAAAAAGGAAAGCATTTGGAATTTTTATTTCTATGTGTAGTCTGGCAAATTTCCCAGGGATACTGCATACTAACCCCCATAAATGGTAATTGTTGCACTGGGTTGATTTAGGAGAAGGACACCATTCCTAGGGGTTACAGAGACAAAGTGAATGTCACAAAGATTCACTTTTCACAAGGTTATCATAGCAAGCTTTTGGAGAGGTCTACCTGTCTGGAGTTCGCCTCTTCCCGTTTTCGTTCACATCGAGAAGCAGCTCTGAGGAGTCAACAGGTGAGGTGGTGCTGGCATCCAGAAGCAGCTGCTCATGCTGAGCGAGGTACTGGGCGGGGTTCTGCTTGGCCAGCCTTGCACAGTGCAGGAGCTCCCGCTGGAGCAAGGGCAGATTGGCCTGAAGGGTCAGAGAAGCAACATCAGAACATCCCTGTTACAAAGTAGCTCTACCAGTATTGCAGTCACAAAGATGCCCCAAAGACTCCCCCATTCAAAATATTTGCAGTGATATCATGTGTGGGTATTTACTATTTTAATAATTGACCAATTTTGCCTTTCTTCATCCTTGGTATCAGCATTTTTACCTGGAGCCTAAGAATAACACCATGGCAATAATATTGCTTAGACGAGCTTAAAGGACGTGTTCAACAATACTGAAAATCTTCAGATTAGACCTATGTTATCTAGAAAGGGCAATGCAAAATAGCACAATTGTAAAATGGGTTCTCTTTGCTATGATGTGCTTTGCAACAATGAACAACAAAATTCTCCTCTGTGACCATCTGGCCCTTCTCCAGCTGCTATGTACTGCCTCCGGCATAAATAGGTTAAAACACTGGAACAGGAGAGGGGATTTGAAATCCTGCAGTTCTCTCAGGGGATAGAGAGATCTCTCCCTTTCAGAGAACAGAATGGAAGGAGGAGTGGGAAAGAGAGGGAGGATGATGCATTTCCCCCTCTCTTCCCTAGCAATAAAACTCCCCTGTCTTATTTTAGAAGTTCCAAAGATCCATCATAAACACAACGGGATACAGTTAGTCCTCTCTTGCAATATACAGATACACGTGGATATCCACTAAATACAAACACATTATTTTTCCTTTTATTTGATAAATTTGAATTCAAGAGATATGTATGTGTTCTTTCATGCATAGTAGGAACTCTAGGTAGAAGCAGATGGCTTTTTTCCTTCCTTTGTCAGTAGCCACTCCTCTGGTCGTACCACACGGTGTCAACTGAGTTGTCTCTGATGAGACTCCAGCAATGAAATGTTTCAGCAATTTGCTAGAAGGATGTTGCACTAACATCCACGTCTTCAATCCCCTTTAAACTATTTGGTTCCTTAACTAAATTCCTTTGCCATTCCTAATAGTTTGCCATTCAGGATGGCATAAGAATTCATGCAAACCTGGCTTAGATTCAAAACTTGTAGTTTCCTAAGGGAATTCTCTTCACTGAGCTTTCAAAATCCGTTTGTTAGAAGTAGGTCCATAGTGGGTCATGGAATAGGCTGTGAATTCAAAAGCTCCCAGATTGAATCTCTGGTATGTTCAGGTAGAGCTGAAGATGTAGCTGTCTTGAAACACCACAGAATGGTTGACAGTCAGCAGGAAAGGAAAGTGTTCCAAAATTACTATGTTATCACAAAAATGGATTGATCGGTTTTGATCCATAATTTTCATGGAATAGGAAAACAAACCTCTGCAAGGCTGAAATCACACATAGAAGAAAAAGGCAACAGCAATTTAGGAAAGAAGGATTGTGTTTACTTCCCCTAATTTCCAAGGGATCTTCTTGACCCTATTACAAATTAAAGGGAAAACATGTCCACTAGCTTGTGCTGTGGTGAAAAATCCAAATCCTTCAAATTAGATGGAACAATTATCTGAACTCAGCCCCTTGAAAAAAAAACACCTAGGTAAATCTAAGCAGACTATCTGGATGCACTATCCACTGGTCTCAGCACATGTTCACTTCAAATTTTGCTTTTTGGAATAAAAAAACAGTGCTTTAACCCATGCACACAGACATAATTGTGCCGTCTCTAAGACAGACACATTTCTGAATGGTTCTTAGGAAAATGATGTCACATGTCGGGCATCTTGCACACAGATGTTTTTTTGACAGATGATTTTCTGGCTCAGGACCAGGAAAAGGCTTAATATGTGACTTAAGAAGAAGGCTAAATAAGCTCCACAAGGCTCTATATTTCTAATATTTTATAAAATTAAATGAAACCAAAAGTACTGGGGGGAGGAGCTGCAAACACATTTTAAATTAATGTTTTGTTAACTAGACAGGAAAGCACCCATAACTATAAATCTGGATTGGAAATACTGATTGGAATATATACTAGGTAGCTCTGTATGTTTACTATTTCCTTTTTAAATGTAACTGAATAAGTAATGAGAAACATGTACATGAACATTTACAAATGCAGACATACAGATGACACAATACATTAGGTCTTTCACTTGGTACTCTGTTTAATTTAGCGATTCCATAAACATCTTCTGCCAATTTTTTAAAAAAATGGTAATACAAAGCAATTTTGTTTGCTCCAATTCTGGTGCCAGATTAGGTAATTAGAATGGTGTCTAATATCCTTCCAGTAAATGTTCCTCCATAAATGCAAAATGGAACCGAGGGTCTGCGGGTTACATTAGCTTAATGAAAACAAGACTTTAATGCATATTGTTACAGCAGCATTTCAATGCACTTATTAAGGCCCGTGTTCCCAAAACCATATGGTTTTTGTCATTAATGTCTCCTTTGAGGAATAGCACTAAAATTAGAAGAAGAAGAAAGAAGTTGCATCTTTGATTCCAGTGATCCTAAATAAATGATATGGCAACCATATGGTAGGAAGAAATGATGGAAGGGGCTGGAAGTGTCCTTGTAGTTCCTTCCTTTCCAGTGTGTGTGTGTGTTTGGGGCTTCCAACATGATCATAATTATATTTATAAATACATTGTCCTTATTAACACACGCAATAATGAACAAGAAACTAGCCTGAGCTGCATTTGCATTCTTCTCCTCTACCCAGCAAACAGTTGTATAAAAAGCTATAAGTGTAAAATCACCAGTAAATAACATTTTCCCTTCCTAAACTGAGGAGGAAAGTTTCTGATCTCTGAATGTAAGATGTTTCCATTAGTAGAAGGGCCCCTTCTGGTAATGTAAGATTTTAGATCCATCCCCATGTTTTTCAACATATTGCTTCCCAAATAATCCTTTGTGTTGAGACAGACTGAATTTTTCATCCATAATAGGTGAAGAATAAATTCCACCGCACAAAACCCATTAGTTAGTAATAAATTTTGAATGAATAATAAAGCTGTTTTCAATTCTACTATAATTTCATATTCCCATATCCCCCAATGCACACTCATTTCATTGTATGTCTGAAGGAAGGGAACTGTCAAATTAACAATTTATAAGCTGTTCAATGAGAATTTCTAGTTGAAAGTGGAATATAAATAAATAAATAAACAAATATTCATAACATCTGGTGTCTGATGCACCTACAAAATGCATGTTACATCCTTCTCAGCAAAAAGGAAAAGAATAACAACAATGACATGTGATTTCACTGTATAGATGAATTAAAGGGAGAAAAAAAATAATCTTGGACATGTGAAGGAAATTGAAAACACTTCCTTAGACCATAGAAAAATTGAAAACACTTTGTTAGAATTGCTGTGTACTAGAGTTCCATTCTAGTATGCTGGATATGCCAACAGTTCAATGTGGCAAATATAAAATAACTATGATGAAACAGACAAATTAACATAGACATAAAAAGATTGAGTTTAATGCTTCATTAAAGCTGTTCCTACTGTAGAGGAAAGGGGCTCCAGGTAGGAACCACTTTTTCTCCATGCAGCAGTCATGCAGCTTTCCATCCAAGGCATTTTAAGAAGGCTGAGGGAAGGAAGAGTGATGGCCTAGTGCTATCCTCCCAGGGCTTCCTTTAAAAAACCATATTTTGCTTCTTGCTTTGGTTTTAATACTTCCTTAAAGCTGTTTTTACTTTCTGCTCTAGAGGAGAGGTAACAAGGTGGTAGTAGTTTTCAGAGAATGAGGGTTTTCTTTTTGCTTGCTAGAAATAATAATAATAATGATAATGATGATGATGATGATGATATTTTAGGAGTATTTGAAGGAGAGGAAGGAAAGGAGAACAAAAAGCTAGTCCCCAAACACATGCAGGCACGCATCCCACCAAACCGTACCGCATGCCCCCAACTCCCAGTCAGTCCCACTAAATAAAAAGAAGCAAGAAAATAAAGGGAACTGTGATGCCGAATAGGGAAGGAGAAGCTGAGATAGGCTGACATGTGGTCCTGTTACAAATGGAAATCCATGATGGCTGGGCCCTTGCCTTTATCGACACCCAAACTAACCAAAGAAGCTGGATTGAAGAAAATGGCTAAAAACAGATCTGCACTCAAGTCTAGTGCTTCACTGTGCAGTGTTTTCTAGAACACCACAATTTTAAATTTACTAAAGATTATGTAGCAAAGCTAATCACTCAACATCAGTTATACAACTAAAATTAGTTATAAAAAAATGATATGCCAGCATACACCTTAGAGAAGGACCATGATCAATAGGTTATATATGTTTATGCACAGAAATCTTTCAAGGGTCAGAGTAACTTGCCTGACACATAGACATGAAGTCAAGAACTAAACAGCGTGTATTTTAAAATGTTCCAAGTACCACGAAGTAATCACCATATGTCTATAGCTGGTGTGATCAATGACTATACTGACTGAAGATGATGGAAACTGTGTGCATTTTACACTGTAGAATTAATGCAGTTTGACACCACTTTGACTTCATAGCACAATACTGTGAAATGTCAGGATTTTAAGTTTGGTGAGGCATCCACATTTTTTGGTAGATATGCCTAAAGCTACAACTCCCACAATGGGCCATGGCAGTTAAAGTGAAAGCTGCATTAATTCTATAGTGTATATGCACCCCAGTCATGAAAATACCTGTTTGGAGAGTACTAGGTTAGAGATTGGTAGTCTGCCTGAAAAGCACCATCAGTTCATCTAGCCTTTTTCACCTGCCATTCGCAGAAATGCTTGAAAACAAGATTGAAAGGGTAAAAGAGCAAAGTTTGCTCACCATATTGTTCTGCTTTTATTGATAGCCTTTTTATCTATTTAGTTTTTGTAAATATAGTTGCGCTTGTTGCTTAGGCACCAGTTATCCAGAAAGGATGAGGACAGACACTTTAAAATTTGAAGTCACACATATGCACTCACATTCACAGAAAGTAATCCAGAATCCCAAACCACAGATCTCTGTGGAGGATCTATTTTAGAAGGTGAGCGGGGAAATGCTTTGGGATCACAAAACCATCAAAGAGTCTTTTAAGAAGCTTTGGCAGCGTTATCTTAATCCTACACATTTTCTTGCACTTCAAACCTGAATTTAAGAGCACTTTCACCATGTATCAAGTTTTAAACCAGCAGTTGGTGTGCGATGAGGAAGGCATTAAAACCAAAGCACATTTGATAAGAATACCACAGTTATTTGTGGCAGTTAACAATTATTTAGTCATAAAGCATTAAGGATACAAAACAACAACAACTGCAGAACCCTATGTGGGTCTACTCAAAGGCAGGTCCTACAAAGTTGATGATTCAAAGCATCTTTGGTTCCTTCACAATGTCTTACTCTCTTAAAACAGAATAACAACAATAGAATCCCCACTGGGAAGAATACATTTTGCCTAGGAGAAATACTATTGGACAAGCACTTCCAAGTGTAGGTAATTCTCAGCATGTTGTAGTGAAAACAGTAGGGCATCTTTCTAGATGAAAGAAGAACCATATGATTACTAATTAATGCAACTGCCTTTTCTTGCCACAGATGAACTAAGACAAGGAACATGTGGAGAAATGGAGGGCAGAGACACATTGCCAATGCAATGGTCTATATCAAGAACAGGAAACTGGAAGACATTAGAAAATGTTAAAGACCAAGTCATGGGGTGCTGTGTTTTATGTAGTTTAATAGATTTGTTGAATTGTTTTATCAGATTTAACTATGCATTTTTAATATTCCTATGTTTATTTCTATTTTAATGTTTACATTTTTTGAATATTTTCAAATTTTCATTTAATTCCTACTCTAATCCATATCACAAGTATAGCTGTCAAACAAGAACATCATTTCTTAGCCTGTATTTCATAACATACATTCTGTATGATTTATGCTATCAGTCACATAATTTACTATGATTATGTGTACACATATGAAATATATTAAGACTGGCATATTTTGTTTTTGCATATGGAAAATATTTTTTTCAATGTTTTGTGGGGGTGGGGTATTATTTGCATTTTAGGACTTTTCTGTAAAATTTCACAAAGGTTTGTTGTGTGGAGGTTTGCACAGCAACCAATGCTCTTGTTGCTAATGCTTACAAAGAATGTACTGGCATTTTAACATAGTTACAGTGGTGAAAAACCATTATTATTATTATTATTATTATTATTATTATTAAACTTTATTTGTACCCCGCTAGCATCTCCCGAAGGATTCGATGCGGCTTACACAGGCCGAGGCCTCAACACACAACACAACCATGCAGCTGCTCTCTGTTGACAGGGTGTCAAAACACATCAAGACACCTTTTCTCATCAATAGAAAAAAAGTGAATATTCTTTACATACCTTGCAGGCATTCCACAGACCTGCACATGGATTTTCAAACACTGAAGGTTCACCATTATGAATTTCACTTCAGATCTGCCTTTTTGCTTTAATTATTTATGGATGATATAGTAAGAATATTTCACTTTGTATCTACAGAAGTGATTAAACTATCTGAAAAATCTCTTATTTCTAAAAACAGGATGTTTATGTGGAATTCCAGAAGCGAGATTGAACATTTATTGGTTACCAAAATGGAGTCTCACATATTCTTTCTTGTGTATTATGGTTAGATGCTGTAATACACCTGATAGTCTAAATCATAGTGAAACTTCTTTTTTCAGTGGAGGAGAAATGAGTGGGGATCCAATTTAGCCTAGCTCCTCTACCCTGTATGACATCACAGGTCTCGAGCCTTCCATTATCCACTCATACTTCCCTTGTCCACTCCATACAAAACTGAGGAGGAAACTGGGTAAGAATGGGGAAGGCTATATCTTAGATGAGATTTAAAGAGATCAAAGCCTTCCCACAAACTTCCCCAGCATCTTGCTTTTCATTTTTTGCCCAAAAATAAGTGACATCTTAATGCATTCCTAATCAAGAGCCACAGCACATATGAGAAAGGATTGTAAATATGGGGGGGGGGGGCACTATGGATGGATTCATGTTGATGAGGAAGGTAATAGGAAAAATGAGGCGGTGTTAGAAGGTTCGTTAGGAATGACAGCCATTTGTAATAGTATATTACTATCTCTAACCCCATAAAAAGTGTAGCAATACTGTTCATCTGTGAATTGTTTGGCATGGAGCATGGAAGCAAAACCCAGCATTTCTTTCATCACAGACACAACCTTCTCTGTGCTTCTTCTGGATCTGGGCAGACCTTTGAGAAGTTACTTTTCTAAATACAACTCCAAAAAGCTCAAGTTTGGTTAGCTCTAATACCCCTGTCACTGCAAAAAAATGTCACATCCTAGTAGCATCAGGGTCCAAATCGTGGGAATCTCCAGCTGTGCCAGCCTTTACTTAAGGTCACAAAAAGTACTGTAAAGCTATCAGTTTTGGGTGACACTACATATAAATGGTACCAGGCACTGCATACAGCAAGAATGCTGACAGATTTCGTAAGTACTTAGCAGTGAAACGGAAGAAAATAGTTACTCTAACAGAGGCTCATTCACTTACACTGAGAAAAGGAGCCCTTAAAACGTGAAATTCATTTTCCTCACTCTCTTAAAAAGCGAAACTGTAATACACATCTGTGACCTAGCAACAGTATGGTTTAAAATAGTTTCCAGATCAATGATCTGTGCAATACCTTCAAAAATGGGATGACAAAAGGTCGCAGTGGGAAGTTAGTAGCTTCTTGCAGTTTGGAATGAAATTCTTCAATTGTCAAAGTAGAGTTCTGTTGAATGAAAAAAAACTGGCTGTAAAATGAATAACAGAAATATGCGGCAGCAGAGATTAATCCTTCAATGCTTTTTAGAGAGAAATTACCTTAACTGTGGTATCTTAACAGCTGTATAATATTGACATTATAAAAACTTGAATTTGCACAATATAGAAAGAATTGCACCTTAATTTATTATTATGGATAGTGATCCTGTTTACTGATGCATCTGTTCCACCCTGTAACAAAGTCTAAGTTTTAGAACTAAATTCTAGGGCTGGGGGAAAGGTGAGTGCTTTACTCCAAGGTCATAGCTATCTTGTCATAGTGTTGTGTCTCATTAGTAAGAAAGATAATGGAAAAACTACATCTAGAAAAAAATGGTCCAGACTCACATCACTCCTTCCTTTCTCAAACTGATGGGCCATTTCCACTTCTCTTTTCAGAAAGCAGTTGGTCTTTTCACTTCCATTTAGTCACTGCTCCCAGGCAGTGGCCAATGTCTCAAACAGAGTTTTCTGTTTAGTCTACTGCTCTACATGAGATTTTTGAGGTTCAGAAGCCAATGTACCCAGAGTATTGCATGTGTCATTCTTTGGCCTAGCCATGACTGTCTCCAAGCTGAATAGCTGTAAATTCATCATGAGACATAGATGCCTCACTGGATGTAGTTGAGAGGACTGCTCCAAATAGTTCAAGCTTCTTTGTTCATGGTGGAAGCAGATAAATTATCTACAGGTTATAGTAGACTCTATACACATTATATGCAGGGAATGTATTTATGTACAATATCATTGTGAAGATATATCCTAACCTCCATTTAGTCAATAGCTAATCAACACCCCCACTGAATCAAACCAAAGATTTATAAATACCTTGTTTACCACAATATGCAGGTCATGAAGGCAACAGCTCAACTAAGCAACAGCCCAACTAGGCAACAGCCTGTCATAACATAACAACTGTATATATTGCAGTGTTGATGCTTATGTATCTAGAAGGATGCAATACGAGCTGGAAGGTATCAGGTATCAAGGCAGGCACTAAGAGGTGTAGAAGTATTCTCACAGGGCACTATCTGTTTCAGTAGTGGTCAGAAAAGCAATATGGCTGAATGAGATGTAATATTCCAAACTGGTGAATGGTTGGCTAGACCTCTTAATAGGACCATTGCACAGTGGAACATATTATTTCAGGTCCTACTTCCCATGAGAGACATTTAAATGTGTCTAGCCACTCATCCCCATGTTTGGCTAAGTATAGATTATGTCCAAATAAGACCTAATAAAAAGACTGAAAATAACAAGCCTCAACTTAATTGCTGTTTGCTTACCACAAGTCCTAGTACTAGAGTACGCACTCTTTCCCCAATCTCTGGTGAAATGTCATTGCCAAACTGCTGTAGTGTTGTAAGAAATCTCTTCAGTTTGCTAAGCTGCCTAGCTCCACAAGCTGGTGGTAATTGCTGATTAGCCAAAGACGATGAGGAAGAAGATGATGGGCCATTACTAAAGCCATTGGGTGGTGAAGGAGCCCCGTTCAATGCAGTTGGTGAATGGCTTGTGCCATTGGTTACTAGAAGCATGAAGACAAAATATTATTTACACACAAATACAAAAGAAAAACCTTTGGCACAACATTTTCCTGATTTAAAACAGTTTATACAATAGTATTTAGTTCATGATTATTCTACTAGCTGTTTTATGTTAAAAAAAATAAGAAGAAAAAGAAAAGAATGAATGAAAGAAAAGAAGTATCTTATCAGCTTTCTCGAATAATTAACATATTCCAATGGTATGATGATACAATTAGCTTCATGAACAGGCAACACAATATAAGTTAACTGCTATAGGTTTTGGGCTAAATCCAATGCTGGACTGGTAGCAATAAAGGAATTGTCTCCCACTTGTCTATCCCCCTGCAGTACTTTGCATTTTCTGAAAATTGACTTTGGGGCATTTCTCAGCCCTTCAAAGTTAGTTTTGGGGGCACCCTGGGCAAGGAGATGTTAAAGTGGAAAAGGAGGATCTGCTTTTCTTTGTTCGTCACTATTTTGTCCCAGTAGCCAAAATTTACCATAGGATCTAGTGCATTGTTTTCTTTATTTTAACACAAACATGATATAATGTGTCTCTGCCATTACGTGGTTATTAGGATGTGAGGTATTACTTTGCATTATCAATGCTTCCTAAGGTGGTTGAAAGAGTAAATCTTCATGAGTTGTCAAAATAAACTGGACATACAACCAATTGCAAGACAAGTGGAACGTAATTCATCCTCTGTTCTCAGTAACTGAGTCTCCAGTTTACTGAATTTAGTAAGAGATCTTCCAAAGAACTTATATAGGTTTGTGGGTAGGTATGTGTTTTTTAAAAGATGGTTGCTGGGGGAGTGTATAATGTAGACATTTTTATATTGAGGTTGTAACCATCTAAAGAAGCATTATATTTCAAATGGATATTTTATGCTGCTTTCAATCTACAGTCTGCATTCTCTAGGCTTTGGAACACAAATGAAAAACCACAAACAAACAAAATCTATTTTACCTCTCTGAAAGAACACTTCTTTAGGAATGCCTAGGTCCTCCGCCAACCCAAAATCTAACTTCTGCTGGAAACTGACACAGAATCACATTGGAGAACCTGCAGATTATCTCTAGAAATCTCTTGGTCCTCCAGCATGACTAGAGGAAATTGGCCATATAGTCACACTGGAGGACCTGATGATTCCTAGAGAAAACATTTTTAATCAAATCCGTAAAGAATCAAATCCACAAACGTCAAAAGCACAAATGTGGAGGGATGACCAAAGATAATATCTCTGCCCCCCTAACAGATGTATAACATCCAACTATCCAAAAATAAAATATGTCTTCCGTCCTAACAGATGCATAACATCCAGCTATCCAAAAATAACAACACTGGTCATGACAAACTTCCTCACAATTCACAAACAGTTAAAGCCTGGAACTTTGGATCACAGGAGGTAGAAAGTACTTCATTCAAAGTGCATGAAACCTATTAATGTGACTCAGTCTCTGAACGTACAGATTGCTAACATATTAAAAACTATTATTAATGCTTTCTCTTCTTACTTTTGCTTAACTGCTTCAGTGCATAACAAAGAACAACCTTCTTTTATATAGTGGTATAAATTTTCCTTCTCATCCTTTCAGGTCTTTGCATCAAGCAACAATGTAACCTTTCGTACAGAAATCATATATGGAACAAAAGTATAATTACACGTTGTGGGTGTGAAAGAGCTGGTTCTTGGGGCTCCTTGGGTAGTAGTAGGAGGTGGCATTGTTGGGGGCGTCAGCCTGGATTGCGTCTTCACATCCACAGGTGAGTCTGGCATTGTGGAATGCTTCTCAATGCGATCTGTAACATACATTAAATTTATTTTTAAAAAAATCATCCCCCTCAGATATCAAAATTTTAAGACAGCAGCAAACAGTTAACTAAATAAATTTAGCATGTTTCAGTAAGTCAAATGTGCAAAAATCCTCCAAGAGATCAGAGCTATTTTATTTGAGATATATCTGGACACCATTGAAATTAAGATATGTAGAATATATTACATTAGCCACCACACATTTTGGTGCCTCAAATGTTAGACATGTTTCTAGGTATATTTGACCTGCCGATTCCAAACATGGGACCAGTTTTACCCTATCAACTCTAGAGTTTGAGATACAGAACACATGCCATATACATCATCTGCTCAGCCATGGAAAATCATGATAACTAAATCTAACAAATTAGAGCTGATGTGGTCTACCAATGCAATTTTTTGAATCAGCATCCCAAATAACCCCTGGAACAGGCCTAGAAACCAAGACACCAAGACTTTTTTGTTGGATTGTGTTATTTTCCATTTTCTTTTCTTTCTTTTTTTAGAAGAACAAAAAGTCCACCTCATTTAAAAGGAATGTAACATCCTTAGTACAAGACATGAATGCAATGAGAAGACACTAAGAAATTCAATTATACTGAAAAAATTACATTACTTTTGTTCTTGTCTATGGATGAAGATATCACTTCATTCTAATACCTACTGCAAGTAATCCCATGCAATTCAACAAGACCTAATTCCACATGAGTAGAATCCATATTGAGGATACAGTATCTGATGGTGGCTTTGACCTGGCAGAAGGCATTTTGTTCATACATAGTAAGATAGCTGATTGCTTCTGAGTTTCTCTTATCCATTGCAGTCCCCAATGCTCAAATTAAGAACTGCTCCTGGTGGCTTACTCAAGATGTGATAAATTGCCAAGCACTACAGTAATGGGGAGTGAAATTGATGAAAATCTGGTGCCCTGCCTTGAAAGTTTTAAGCACTTTCTCTAGTAAAAAGCCATAAATATGAACAACTTATATACACCCTAGTGACCTCAGAAACACAATGACTGTAAACACTGGTCTCATACTGTAAGTGCTTTCTGATGGATAGCTTCTAGGATTACCAACCAAAAAATAGTGTGCAGTGTTATTGACTTTTATTCTTCAACAAGATTTTGTTTTGGAAAAAAAAGAAGAACCAGTTAGAAAATGTAGCAAGGATACCTATGAAGGGAAACAACATCTGAACTACCTGTAACATTCTGTAAATGGTACAATGGAATCTATATAAATAAAAATGTAATGTTTGTTTGTGGGATTAACAGAACTCAAAAACCACTGGGGAAATTGACACCAAATTAGGACAGCATACACCTAACAACCCAATGTATGTCCTTCACTCAAAAAAATTGAGTTTGTCATTTGGGAGTTGTAGCTGCTGGGATTTATAGTTCACCTACAATCAAAGAGCATTTTGAACTCCACCAATGATGGAATTGAACCAATCTTGGCAGATAGGACTCCCATGACCAACAGAAAACACTAGAAGGATTTGGTGGGCATTGAACTTGAGTTTGGGAGTTGTAGTTAACCTACATCCAGAGAGCACTGCGGACTCAAACAATGATGGATCTGGACCAAACTTGGCACGGATATTCCATATGCCCAAATATGAACACAGATGGAGTTTGGGGGAAATAGACCTTGACATTTGGGAGTTGTAGTTACTGGGCTTTATAGTTCACGTACAATCAAAGAGCATGCTGAACCCCATGAATGATAGAATTGGGGCAAAATTTCCACACAAGAACCCACATGACCAACAGAAAATACTTAAGGCCATCCAACTCCCTTCACGAGGACAAGAAAACGTAATCAAAGCCCTCCTGACAAAGAACCATCCAGCCATAGATAGAGATAGATATATATAATTCAAACACACACAGATATAGTATCATAGATCTGAAAGGGACCCCTAAAGAAGGACAATTATTTGTTGCATGTTCCAGAGTAGGCAAACCAGACAATCTCCACATCAACACTGACAAAGAAATAACAAGAAATACTCTTTACCCACAAGCATAAGGAAATTACATGTATTAGAAACCAACATTTTCTCATTACTTTATTTTCCAGATCATCAGACTGGGCCACAGCAACGCATGGTAGGGGACTGCTAGTTTCATAATAAAATTCATTCTGAAATGCAACTTCAAAGGGAAAAAGTTGGGGACATATTTGTATTTTTGGAACCTATTGTATGTTTTTTGTGGTTTTACTTGCAAAACAACAACAACAAGTCTGACAGTTGGGATAATGAATATTTATGTGATACAGCATAATACTAAACACTATTTTCATCAAACTGAAATCTAATATCAATGGGTTATTAATACAACTAAACTGATGAAAATGGTAAAGGAAGTAATACTTGGGGTTTTGTTTCAAAAACAAGCTATTCTGTATGCTGGCATGTTTATACTGACTTTTGTGCCGTACTTATTGTTTCATATTTTCTATTTATGACCCAATTAAATGTTGTATCTGTATTTATAATGCTTCGGCCATGCTACTATTTTGCCAGGGGTGATACACTATTGCGTTCATATAAAATGTATAACATGGAATAAAAAAACCTATATAAGGAGCCTAACCAGGAAAATAAACAGCTCAAAACCTGAAAGCTTAAGTAAATATGGTCATATCAATATGATTTACTGTATGGTTTATTTCATGGTTCAAGAGAGGAGGGAAAAAAAGAAAAATTGTAAGATGAACTATTTGAACTTTCTGTAAGAAGCAATGATGAGAACCAGTATACAAGTGGATGAAGAACAAAATTAATATTTTTCCCCCATGTGGACTCCATGGGGAAATTCTAATGAAGGTACTCACTGAAGGTACAGCATCCTTGTGAAAATACCATTATATCTGAATCCATCAAAATTAAATGAACTACAGAAAACCCAGCTCTGTTGACTATTGTTTTTCAGCTTTATGTTCTACAAAGATTATTGAGCTAATTTTGTCCAGAACTTTTCTGAATGGAGGAGATACTCTTACAATGGAAACTAAAGCAAAACAAGCTATAACACAATTTCCATATCATTAACTATGTTAGTGGCATTTCTAAGACTAGTTCTAAGAAATGCAGTGTTTGCAGGCTGAGGACAAAGTGTTAAAGCATCTACAAACACTGGTGGATAAGTATTGTAAACTGAACAAACAAAGAAATGTTCTCTAAACAAATTTCTTGGCTTATGTTGTGATCAAATATTTAACATTCAGGGACAACAAAAGTGGAGGAAAGGAAAGGAGTCTGAAAACGTTAATTATTTTTCACACTCACCTCCACCAACCTCAGGGACATGGAAATCAACAGCATTCAGCTTAGATTGTGAGAGAAGGAGAGAAGCATGGAAAAGAATACAGGCTCTCCTAAATAAAGGCAAATATTTCTGCCATGCCAAGAAAGGAAAGAGAAAGAGAGACTTGCCAGAGCTGGCCAGGAGATAACATTGGCAACTGCTGGCCCATCTGTTTTTCATTCTGCTAACACTCATGCTGAAGTGTTGGGGAATGTATTCCAGGTATACAGATCAGAAAACATGTGTGAGGGAGTCGTACATGGAAGAAAGGAAGAAAGTCCTATTCCACCAAGGTTGTTTGTCCTTGATGAAACACAAATTTGAAGCATCTTCCAATTCAGGTCTTAAGGGCTTAAAAAGCAATTGCTACCCCTCCCTACCACATAGAATCACAACAATATGCTTCTCCGTTTTGTCAGTTAAAGGAATTGATATCAGAACAAGAAAAAAAATGAGATGAAGAAAAAAAGATTGCAAAAGGGAACCTTTTGCAGTTCACATTCTGCTATACAACATGCCATAACCTACTTTTTATTTGTTTTTGTACAAATACACATACAAACACACCCAAGATTTTATTGTCTTGACTGAATGACATCTTTAATCCAAAGACCCTTTCCAAAATATTTTCAAATGATTTTGAATAAACTCCTCCCTTGAGTTGTTACCCCTCATTAGACAATAAACTTGTTGTTGTTGTTGTTGTTGAAAATCACTATATCATGCTGGTTCAAGGTTTCCTTTACTTGCTATAAAATGTAAGAAGTCAACCAGCTGAATCTGTGTATCCTCTGTTTATTCTGCTGGGTAGGACTTCAGCCTTAAAAATGTACCCTGTTGGCACCATACTTAAGGAAAGATCATTTTGTCTCAATAGTGGCCTTCTGCTTGGTTATTCTATGTTATAGGAAATATTTTGGCTGGCAAGTAGCTGAGTCTTCCATGAAATTGCTTTTAACTTACTAGAAGCTGTAAAAAAAAAAGACAATCAGAGCTCCTTGTTCTTTCTTTGTACTCCTGCTTTTACTGCTTTATTGGTGTGATTTTTTAAATTTTGTGGGGGTTTTTTTGTAATTTTTGTCATTTTACTGTTCCTTTACCTACCTACTTTTCCTACCTATTGAGGAAAGATAGAATACAAATCTTTGAAAGAGTTAAATGTAATAAATTACATATTTGACAGTAACACTAACCGAAGAATGCACATCCTAGCACATGGGATGTACATGTGGAAGAGATGTAGGAGTTCAATAAACATATTACAGCAGAAGAATGAATCATATGAACTTTTTCTTTCCACTCTTCAGTTTATGAATCATCACTGGACATTTACACATATGGAATTTATTCTTTTAAGCAGATACACAAAGGGAGTAAGGCAGTAGGAAGCCTGAAGTAGATAAAGGGATCATCTGTTTTGGAGTGTCAGGTGGAGCAAGAGTAGAACTTGCCACTATATTACATGATGAGATGGATCCAAGATCAGATCTCAGTGGGAGATTCTACAGGCTCTGATTACCACATTAAACATAGGCTCAACAATCTACTTTGTTGTATTGTTTTAAATTAATTTATATCATTCCTCCCCACAATGAGACTCAATCTAGCATACAAATTATTTTTTTAAATTCTATGCTTCTTTGATGCCCCAACATTCATTCAGTCTCC